AACAACAGAACAGAACAAGTTTAACAAACTCTCCATCTCACTCCAAATCACTAAATCCATTCAGTTCTTCATCCTCGGTGTCACTTCTGTACAACTCGGCGACCACTGGAGGTAAATGAAGCACTACTTCCTCTTCTGTGTAGCTGTTGTCAGACTCAGCATCAGTTCCAGTTAGAATTATTCCGGCCTTTCTGAATCCTGACAAGATGGTTTCGGTGTCACTGAAGTCCAGGCTTTGTCCATCCATCCAGTGACTTCAGGAAAGTTTCATGGTGCATCCTCCCGGTGTCACAAGTTTCTCACTCACTCCAAACTTTCTTTCTCCTGCTCGATTACCTGTTTTAGCTGCAACTAACTACTTGCAGCTTGTAATCTGCAAAATCTGCATTTTCTTTTTGGGGGCATTTGTGTTCAGTCTCATTTGACTTTATAACTTTAAGTTTTAATTTTCAGAGGTACAAATGTAATGATGCGATCGACTGGCATGATACAGACAGGACAGAGGCTCTTTCTGCAGGAAACATGTGCAGTAGAGCCAAGTGACAGTGGTACAGGAGGAACAGGAGCAGCAGATACTGACACACAAACCTAGAGCGCCCTCTCATGGCTGTCAGTGTGAAGACTTTAATATATACAGTAAGTCACACTGGAGTTTAAGTCACAGGAAACACCCAAACCATGAAAAAAGTGCCACTTATAGTATAAAAATACGGTAAGTAATAAAGCTCAGCACAGACAGAGCATACAGCCAGCATCACAAGCTCCAAACTATCAATTAGGACATTAAGAAACAGGTACAGCCCCCTTTGAGTCTCTTCATGAGCGCTAATATAGGTTCAGTGATCACACAGTATTACCCAATCTTCATTATCCAACATTATACCTACAGATGTTATCCAGTCGCAGCGTTGCTTTTCAAGTCTATCCATATTCATAGACCTTTCCCGCGTGTCACGTTCACTCCGGAGCTTTCACCAAACTACATGTGAAAGCATCGATTCACTTTGCAACACGTAATACATTTAAAGCACCGCTCACCTGTGCTCGCCTGCTGCATTATTCAAAACCGTGGGCCCATTGCAAGCCGCCTTCCTGGTTCTGCAAAAGAAATGGAATTGGCTTTGACACTCATTTGCATGTCTTTTTGTGAGAGTGTACAAAATCCTCAACGTCACTGAAAGAAAAATAGACCAAAATAACACTGAGTTGTTGAATAAATGCAGCATTAGTGTACGGCAGTGAGCTGGGATCACTTTGGGAGCCGTGTACTGTTGTCTATGGGGGCAGACTCGCTGAGAAATACTGTTAAATGAAATGCTAATGACATTCTGAGTGAGAGCTGCTTTCCCGGGGTCATGGTGCGCTCGATGCTCGGCTCAACAATAGTCTAAAATGCAAGCGCTGATGTACACAAGTGAAAAAGGAGCTGGATTCATGGAGTCATTTTAAAGGCGGCATATTATACAAACTCCACTTTCACTTTTTTATCAGTTTATAATGGTTTTCCGTCATCATTTGCTTACTCAGAGTTGTATTTTGAATGATTTATGCATGATGGAGTAAAGCGCCTTTGTCCTGCGTTCGACATTTGAGTCCTCAAAGTTCCAATCCGGAGTCTGAAAAGAAGTCTGCAGCAAAAATGGAATATCAGTTTTGTTACTTTTTTGTGAAGCGTCTTTGTGTTACCGTGAAAAGCGCTATATAAAACCGATGTATTATTATTATTAGTTTGTTAATACTGTTTTTGAGAGCTCTATTTTTACATAGTCTGAGCAGAAAAACAGTTGTACAGTAAGACGCTGTCACCTTTTTGTTGAAAATCAAAAGTCCTGCGTGTTCATAGGACACATGAACGCTCGTATGAACACAGGCTCCTGAAAATGTGTTGTTTAAGACCTTTTTTAGACAATCCTAAAACATTTTTGACAGTCCGCCAATAGAGATGCATATAAAACACCCCCACTGTGTCAGCAGTCTCAGTGACCTTGTTTTGGTTGGTCCTCTTTGGAGTGGGTGATTGAAAGAATTGAAAGAATAAGAAAGAATGCAGGTAAAAAAAAAAAAAAAGCGGATATGAAAATATGAAATACCGTATTTTCTGGGCTATTAGACGCCCGCTTACGCCTCTAATCAAAAAACGACCGCGTGCCCCGCAATCCAGAGCGCCCCATACACAAATCCACTCGGGTGTCCCAGCACGACTTCAGTAAACTACAAAGCCGCATCACCCGCAGAACACGCAAACACACATGGAGCGGACAGCGACACAACTGAACAACTGAGTCACTGCGAACACGCCGACAAGCCAGACAGCACCCTCCCTACACGCCACAACTGAACAAAGCCCAGAGTCACCGTGAACGCGACAAACAAAGTCCCACTCACCCATCCAACTGTTGTGTTTCCTTTAAACTCCGGCGCGGTTTATTTGTGAAAAAAGTTCGAAAATAGACCATTTAATGAAAGTGTGCCTTATAATCCAGAGCACCTAATAGTGCGGAAAATACGGTAATAATTTCTCACCAAACTCTGACTGTTAATAAACAGTTTCCAATAATACTGTATTTCCAGTAAAAGCAACTTATATGTTGAGCTGACATTAAGCAGAAGATAAATAAATGGGGTTGTTTGTTGTTGAGATTGTTTTTAATCTGTGTAAAGCACTTTGTGTTACATTTTTGTATGAAAAGTGCTTTATAAATAAAGTTTGATTGATTGATTGATTGATGAGAATGTCTGTGTTTACTAGTGGGTAACGAAAATATCATTTTTCATGAGTTGTGTATCTGTTAGTTGTGTGACTGTAGATCAGTGTGTTGTGTATCACCAGAAAAACAAGAAATGGAAATTATTTTCATTCCAATTAGAATTTGAACGGCATGAAAGAGAAAGGAACTGTTCTAATTAGTGATTATCTGGAAAACTATTCATATTTTACTATACAAATGCATCGAATTATAAATAGATTTTTTTTTTCCTGAGATTTTGAGACACTCCTGTTGCTCTAGCTCCATCCTTCATGGAGTTATGACCAAAAACCCATATTTGACCTTGGTTACCTTGACCTTCAAGTGACCTTGACCAGTTTCAACCTGTAACATCCAGTGTATTCTGGTTATGTGTGTGCCAACTTGTCTGATGATTGGGTTAGGGTTAGGGAATAGGGAATATTTTAGGCCGCAGATGGTTCAAAAATTGCCGAAATTGCCGATCCTTTATAATGGTGTGACATTTCAATTGACCCGTGTGACCTCAAATTACCTTGGATTGTCACCAAACTTTCTTTGTGGCATCGGGCACGGGGGCTTGACCCACGTACGAAATTTGGTGACAATCGGTTCATAAATGGCAGAATTGTCGCAGGTGGACAGACACACAGACACACAGGGTGAATACAAAATCTGGTCAACCCTTTGGGGACCAGGTAAAAAATTCAAGAAACCAGAAGTATTTTAGGGAGGGTAATTCTAGCTTTAGCCACATCGCATCGTCTCATAGAGCTACAAACTTGGAATTACTAAACACCTCTGAGAAATTCTGAGATCAGCCTTATGATGGAAAAGTATTTCAAAGTATTTCAAACTGCACACTAATGGTCAATCTGAAGTGTGACGCATCTGAAGCAGACTCACTGAGCCAGTCCACCATGACGTTACATAAAGAGCGAAAGGGCAGCAGACCGACAGGTGATCACATCATATTGGCTCATTAGTTTGGTTTGTTTTACTAAGTGGCTCAAAGCGTTTGCCTGGAAGTGGCAAAGTGGAGTGGTGATAGGGCTATAAATGACCCAGAGATCGGCTGTACTGCCCCAAATCCTCAAGTCTCCATCTCACCTTCATCATCTCCCTGCTCCTTCAACTCCAACAGTAAGTATACTTCTATATTCTCTACAAATACTTCTATATACACTCCAAACAAGGATATTTTGGTATTATATAAGGATATAATATAAGGAATACTAAGATGTGTAATAGTAATTTCTGAATTTTAATCTTAGTTTGACCTCACATTTTCATGGTCAGTCCTGGTGTAGACATGATTTGGTTCTGTTCTGATTTTAGTCCTGGCTTAGCAGGGTTAATCCATGTTCAGTCCCAATTTTGAGCTGGTGTGTATGGTGCACCGTTAAGTTTGTTATTTATTTATGTATTTTTTTCAGTTTTGCTTCAGTTTAACAAAAAATAAATAAATAAATAAATAAAATAAATTGCACAAATAATGGTACTTGGAATAATAATGGTTATTTGAAACCTGGGAGAAAATCTACTAAAAAAAAAAAAATAAATAAATAAATAAAAACAACTACTAAATACTATGCTGAATTGACTAGGAGAGGCATTTAACTGCACGGCGTAAGAAACAGTCAGGCAAATATTAGACATGTATTTGGGCATTTACTCTCTTGTTTTAGGTCAGCAGTGATGAGAAACTACTCCCTCCATGGCAGATTATCAGTTAACGTATGTGTTAACGTGAAAATTACCAGAGCTGTACCGTGTTTGTGATGCAGAGAGCAAATAACTTGAGTAACGCATATCCAGCATGTCTGAAAAATTAATCATCTTCATTCACACTTGTTTCAATAATCCTGTTTTATGCGTCATCTTGCTCAAGGTCTCAGAAATCACATTTCAAATTTTCATGGATTGTTACGTCACAGGTAGAAATCCAGCGCAGTTTTAAATACATAAATCATTACTAAACTTTTTTTTTTTTTTTTTTTTTTTAACTCCCATTGCTACCAGTAGGTGTCGTGCCAGCACCAAATCATAGTAAGGGCAGTGCAATTGAATATTTAAAGTTCTAAAATGTGACATTTCTATTCAAAAGTGCTCAAGAGTGTGTTTAAAGACCAATAACAATTCAAAAACCAAAGCGCAATATATTTCTTTACTGTAAATAATGCGATATAATGAATTGTTAACTGCTCAAAACAAGGTCCATAATCTCATTTCAAGTAATTTGATTCAGTATTTCTTCACAGCTCTACTATGGCGATGTCGTGGCTGCAGTCGGCTTGTCTCTTGGTGCTGGTGGCGACTCTGTGTCCCGGGTCAGAGGCCTTCAGCTCTCAGCACCTGTGTGGCCCTCACCTGGTGGAGGCCCTCAACATGGTCTGTGGAGATAGGGGCTTCTACTACAACCCCCAGAGAGACGTGCACCCAGGCATCGGTGAGACGACACTTTTTTTCATGTGTACCAGTAAAATAAGATTAGTTTTGCCCAAGTGCAGACGTTGTAAAAGCAGTATATTGTATAGTATTGTAATAAATGGAATCAGTGTTATTATTACAACCACAAATTACTTATATCTAACTCTAAAGTCTTTAAGTTTCTCAAAACAAAACAAAAAACTAGTTCATTTCAACAGTATGCTTTCTGGACATCCTAATTATTCACCGTTGCTCCGATGAGCACTTTTCACAAATTTCAGAGACCAGAACGGAGTTAGAGTAAAGCTAACAACAACTAGAATGCCAGTGTGGACTTTCTGATTATCAACTTTCAAATTTATTATTGTCCCAGAAGGAAAATGTTGCGCAGTAGTGTCATATAGTAGACATACAATACAATTCTGTAATACACTAAACCACAGCTTAAGCTTAGCTCAACAATGCAGACAAACAGTCCCTTAAAAAAAAAAAAAAAAAAGAACAGAAGATGTAACCACATTTCACCACGATTGATCCAAGCTATAAGAGTGTTCATCCTACTTATGGCTTCAGGAATAAAGTCAGTCTGAGCTGTCTGATTTCCGATCTGGGACATTCTCAGATGACACCCAAAAGGAAGGAGGTTAAACTCGGGTGCTCAGGGCTCTCCATTATTTGCTGGGCCTTGCAAATTACCCTTCTGTCGTAGACGTCTTGCAGCTGTAAGCCGACAGTTTTACCTGCCGCTTTCCCTAACCGAGCCAGACGATTTCTACTTGACACAGAGAAGGCACTGAACCACCAGACAATACAAAATGCAAGAATAGATTCAATAAAACTCTGATAAAAAGGGTCGTAAGAGCATTACTGACTTTAAACAAATTGATTTTCCTTAAAAAGAACAGTGTTTGCTGCACTTTCTTGCAGATGGCATCAGTGTTCGATTCAAAGCGTAGGCCACTGTCAATAATTGTCTCTAGATATTTATATTCAGAGACAAACTCAACCTCTTTCCATGAACTACAGAATGAGTGCCACTAGGGGGTGACTTGAAAAGACTTTAAATTCTTCTAGCATGTCTTTATTCATTAATAGACAAATAAAAGCATTCAAATCAGTCGATAAAATCATCCACCACAGATTCTTGACTGGTCTCAATGTCTGTTAAGAGACTCACAGTTACTTTATTGTTTGCAAATTTCAGGATATGCCTGTTATTAAATGCACTTCAGTCAGTGGTATACAAAATAATTCACACTGCTGCTGGTCACTGCACGAACAATATTCAGTGAAAATTGGTTAGCCAGAGCGCGACAACCATAGTTTTGCGAAGATTTATGTGCTTCTGAGCGAGATTGTGAAGGCAGGCGGCAATTGTTGTGAAGGCAGTTGCTCTAACTATAAAGCTCTGCAGGAAGCATTGATATTTTCAGTGTATGTTAATCTCAAATACAACCTGCTAATACAAAATATCTCTGTCCGGGGTTAAATTTTGCTCAGATTCACGGGCTAGAAGTCTGGTGTATTGCCTTTAAGAGTTTCTCTAGCTTAACACCATAAAAATCATTTCTCAAACATATTTTCATTTTCCCTCTCTTCAGTCCACCATTCAGAGCGACGGGGCATCGTTCAGGAGTGTTGTGAAAGCCCCTGCAGCCTTCTGGCCCTGGAGAAGTACTGCAACTGAAGAGCTCCCCGCGGGACTTCACTCGGCTTTGTTAGCGCAGCCTTGCTTAGCTTAGAGTAGCTTAGCATAGCTTAGCTTCCTGGCTAAATTAATACGCACTTTTTCAGAGTTTTGCATTATGGAGTGGCTGATGTTGTCCATATAGAGCCAACTGCATTGAAATGGGGGTGTAAGGGATTACATTTCATTGATTTTTGCTAGAAAATAAAGAATGAATAATAAACAGTGTCTATTTATTGTGGATGTTTTAAAGGAAATGACTACACCAATCTATTCATGCATGCCGAATTTTGGACTTCCAGTCATTACGCAATGCATACTGAGAAGGACCCTCCAAAAAAGTGAGCATCAAACCACCATGTTTGTTTTCCCAATAGGATGCGTCTATTGTCAAAGCCGATCTTCTGAACAATATCACTTTTGTTTCTGGTTCTGATATTGTCTTATTTTAGTTTTGGGATTCAGACATCCTTAATTATGTGGTTGTTGGATGTCCTAACAGCAGAAAACAGCTCAAGAAATGGGCTTTGGAAGTTTGCAAACTCCATAACTGCAAAAGGGCATCAGATCAGTGTGACTGCAAACCTCTGTTCAAACTGTTTCCCTTCCCAATGGAATTGAAAAATAGTGAAAGGCGAAGGTGATAGGCAGGATTGATCTACAGGAAGGACAAAAAAGTTAACCTTTGGTTGCCTAAAGCATCCCGAGTTTGCAGTGAACATTTTGTACGTGGAGTGCCAACAAAGCAAAATCCCGATCCCTCATTCAACCTTGGTTACGAATTTAAAAAGTCAACGCCAAAGCGAAAAGCAGCAGCTGTTCACCAAGAAACAACTTCCACTGCAAAGAGACCAAGACCTGATGTTGCTGTAAACCCACAAGAACAAGAAAGTGCAGGTCAGTCTGTTTCCTTCTGCACCTCTCCATTAACAAATGGGACTTTGCTTTGATGGTGCTCCACATACAAAACTCAGGATGATTTAGGCAGCCAAAGGTTTCCTTTTTCGTCCTTCCTGTGGATCAATTCTGCCCATCGTCTTCGCCTTTCACTATTTTTCTATTCCGTTGGGAAGAGAAACAGATTGAACGAAGGTTTGCAGTCACACAGATCTGATTCCCTTTTGCAGTTACGGAGTTCAGAAACTTCCGAAGCCCGTTTTCCGCTGTTAGGATCCAACAACCACACAATTACAATGTACGAATCCCAAAACAAAAATATGACAATATCAGAACCAGAAACAAAAGCGATCTGGTTCAAAAGACTAGAAAAGATCAGCTTTGTCAATAGATGCATCCCACTGGGAAAACAAACATGGCGGTTTGATGCTCACTTTTTCGGAGGATCCTTCCCAGTATGCATTGCGGGATGACCAGAAGTCCAAAATTTGGGATGCATGTATTGCTGCAGTGTTGAGAGGCTAGTCCACTTAAAATGGTTTGTCAACTTTCCCTGTCATGAAAGTCCAAAGTTTGAAATTTAAATTATAACAAAGTTCCATTTTCAGATGTTGGTGATCTGTGGCCAAACAAAATACCCCGATTCAGTTTAATAAGAAAAAAGTCACAGAAAGCAATGCCAATATTTGTAGATGGCAACGTGCACTCGATAAATTCTTGCACAACAGCGATGAATCCGGTTTACTCTGCCTTTATTTAGTTTTATAAAGAGCAGAGTACAAATCCACTGGCTTCAGTCATTTCATATCCTTATTGCTGATCTGCTCCTGCTATTTAACAGGAAGTTAAAGTTTAACTCTACTAGTGTTATTGTGATAGTGGATGTTTGGTGCACTGAGGTAGCCTGATTCATCAGCTGGTTCCACTTAGTAGAAACTGTCTGACCACGCAGTGTTAGAATTCATTCGCTCAAGGGTAGGCGGGTACTTTTTTCATGTAACCAATACACGCATCAAGAATCTCTGACTTCTGGTCATTGCGCAGTGCATACTGGGAAGGATTGTCCGAAAAAGTGAGCATCAAACCGCCATGTTTGATCTTACAGTAGGATGTGTCTATTGACAAAGCCGAGAATCAGATGTGTGTGACTGCAAACCCCTGTTCAAACTGTTTCCCTTCCCATCGGAATTGAAAAATAGGGAAAGGCGAAGGCGATGGGCAGTACTGATCCACGGAAAGGATGAAAAAGGAAACCTTTGACTGCCTAAATCATCCTGAGTTTGCAGTGGAGCACCATTGATTCATGTCATATATAACAGTGTACATGTAGTATTATAATTTAGATTACTGCAGTAATTACAATGAAGCTTTAACAAACTTATTTATCTCATTATTTTGTTTGTTTACAACATTTTGCAGTGGTCCAAAGTTATTCCTCAATTATCTTATGCATTTCGAGCATCGTAATTATTCACAGTGGTTAACAGTGTTTTTTTTTTCGTTGTATTGTTTTCAGTGGCCTGTGCTCATTGGCACATGGGCTCAAAATAATTGTCTCTTCCGCATTTACTTCATCAGTAGGGGCGTTTCGACCAATCAGAGTGAGAGCTGCTAGAGTGGAGCTAGCGCGGGCTCAGAGCGGGGCAAGTCTAAGTCTTATAAAGCAAATTTTTAGACTGTTTATGTTGTGAAAACAGAAAAGAAACCCACTAAATCCGACATTTGTCAAAGTTGTGGATGCCCTGTCAGCCGAACACGGGCAGTTTGAGTTCCTGCAAAATGCTTTGTGCTTCTATGGGAGAATTCTTTCTGGGCCCAAGCTCTTAAGAGCTGCACTACCTGGACCAGCCACTAGTCAGTCTTTAGCCTGGACAGAGGGAGGAGTGTCTTATCCAGTTTTTATTATAGATCCATGGTGCAGCCTTGGTAAGCTTAGAGTAACAGCATAGCTTCCTGGCTAAATAAATACACACTTTTGGGTTATGACCATAGACTGTATAAAGAAGTGGACTAAGGGAGTGTGACATCATCCATAGTGTTCAGTTCCAGTCAAATGAAGCTAATCGAGATTTGAAGTTATGCAAGGGAATTTGGAGCCAAGTTTCTTATTAGGAATAGGAATTGATTTATGGATGGAACAGTGAAATAAAAACACCAGAATCATGTAGACTGGGTTAATAATGAACATTTTAAGACCATAATGAGGAGCCTGACAGGAGCAGTTACAGAGAGAGGGGCAAAGGCATCCACCGCCTTCCACTGTCATCCACCGCCTTCCACTGTCATCCACCGCCTTCCAATGTCATCCACCGCTGTCATCCACCGCCTTCCACTGTCATCCACCGCCTTCCAATGTCATCCACCGCCTTCCACTGTCATCCACCGCCTTCCAATGTCATCCACCGCCTTCCAATGTCATCCACCGCCTTCCACTGTCATCCACCGCCTTCCAATGTCATCCACCGCCTTCCAATGTCATCCACCGCCTTCCACTGTCATCCACCGCCTTCCAATGTCATCCACCGCCTTCCACTGTCATCCACCGCCTTCCACTGTCATCCACCGCCTTCCACTGTCATCCACCGCCTTCCACTGTCATCCACCGCCTTCCACCAACATCCACTGTCATCCACCGCCTTCCACTGTTATCCCCCGCCTTCCACTATCATCCACCGCCTTCCGCTGCCATCCACCACCTTCCACTGCCATCCACTGTCATCAACCGCCTTCCACCACCTTCCACTGTCATCCACCGCTTTCCAATGTCATCCACCGCTTTCCTCCAACATCCACTGTCATCCATCGCCTTCCACTGTTATCCACCGCCTTCCACTGTTATCCACCGCCTTCCACTGTCATCCACCACCATCCACCACCTTCCACTGTCATCCACCGCCTTTCACCACCTTCCACTATCATCCACCGCGTTCCAGTCATCCACCGCCATCCACCGCAATCCCCTGTTGTCCACCGCAATCCACTGTCATCCATCACCACCCACTCTCATCCACTGTCATCCACCGCCATGCACTGTCATACACCACCTTCCACCGCCATCCACTGTCATACACCACCTTCCACCGCCATCCACCACAATCCACTGTTGTCCACCGCAATCCACTGTCATCCATCACCATCCACTGCCTTCCACCACCTTCCACCATCATCCACCACTATCCACCAGCATCTACTGTCATCCACCACCACCCATCACTGCAACAGACATCCCAGAGCTTCCAATACACGTGGCCATAGAAGCACCACAACACTCTCAATGATTGGAAATACCAGTCAGTGTCACAACAAAGGTGTAACTCACAGACAAGACTAGTTTTTTTCTACTACCTGGAAGCGAGGGAGACGAGCGTTAACCACAAAAGAGGAAGAATGCAAGTGCGTGAGGTCAGATTGGAACCTTCTACTGACTGAAGCTGAGATAAATGACAATGCAAATGGAGCTCCTAAGTGGCAGAACCAGAGAATAAGAATAAGAAAGAGCCCACAAGATGACAAGATGTTACAAATAAACCCAGTTAGGTCAGGAAATCAAGTCTCCAAAACATCGCAGAAAGCAATGGTAATATTTGCAGACGCGCTCGATAAATTCTTACACAACAGAGACGAATCCTGTTTACTTGGCCTATATTTAGTTTTATAAAGAGCATAGTACAAATCCACTGGCTTCAGTCATTTCATATCCTTATTGCTGATCTGCTCCTGCTGTATAACAGGTGAGGACTCAAGTTTAACTCTACTAGTGTTATTGTTATTGTTATTATATGTGCCGCGGTCTAATACAGTATGTTGATGCACATTTTTATCCTGATTTTGACTTTTAATATAACTTTAAAATCAAATAACTGCCAATGATGGGAAAAATACTTTCAAAATGTATTAGTTACAGAAATATTTGCAATAATATTTATTTTGTAACATTCAAATTCATATTAAGTCTACAAAGCAACATAGGATTAAAACTGGTTTATTCTTTGCTGCGTTCGTCTGCGTATCTGTGGTGGGGTGTGTTTTTTTATTACCGTATTTTTCGAACTACAGTGGTCCCTCGTTTATCAGGGTTATGTTCTAAAAATAACCCACAATAG